GAAAATGCCTTTGGACTTTATTTGTCATTTGGCTTCGGAGTGAAGAAATGCATTCTGTTCGAGTAAACATTGATTGCGTCACTCAGTGTGCTACACAGCAGCCAGATTCCTCATGTTTGTGCAGGAGAGACATTCTGGAGAAGGTTTTGGAGCAGTTTTTGCACTGGTATTTCTTTACATCAGAATGGGTCTGCAGATGAGCCCTCAGGTTTGACCTGTCTGCAAAAGCTCTGTTGCAGTGAGGGCAAGAAAAAGGCTTCTCGCCTGGGGATGGAGTGGGAGAAAAAAAGAAAGACAGTCAGTGTTTTTAGAGGAAACATAAAGTTAAATAATGTTAACAAAAGTCAATCACATTTTGCCTAAATAATGAGAAGCAGCAAAACCTGATTAAAATCTCTCATAATAGACACTTTAAAAATACCTGACCTTTGAAGATAAATTTTAATATTGCATTTAAAAATCATACACAGAATATTATTACTGCTGCCAATTACGCAGAAATAATTTCCGAAGTTCTTGGACTTTCACTTCTTAAAGCTTTCTGCTTCAGCAGGTGCAGCTAATGTTGAGCACCTCCCAACATTTCCCAATATTTCCCCTTTTCCCTCTTTCTGTACTATGGTTAAGGCAGTCTAAGTGCCATGATACCCTGCAGGATAATTCTGTGATAGGAATAAGAAATTAAGCAGCAAAAAATCCCCAAATAAAGCGAGAGGCAAAGTAAATTTAGTTTCAACTAGCCAAGTCACCCACTGGTGATAGATATCAGAGCAAGAATGTAACTAACAGAAAACTGTAGGAAAAGCCTTCATCTATTAACCAAATCAATTGATTAAGATAGCAACATTTGTTTTTGCTGATTACTGGGGGCAGTTTCACAGAACACACATTCAAGCACATCTTTCCTGATTTTCTAACTGATCTTTGAGACCAAACCTTCTGAATCTACTTTCCAAAGTCTACATGCTGTTTGCAGTCCCTAGAGCAGAGGTTGTTAGCAAGAAATGGAGCACTTTGTGCCCTAACAACTTTTTGAGTAGTCAGGAAGTAGTTATCAATGACTGTCCATCATTAAAAGCACTATGTCACAACTTCATGCAAATCCAACAGCCAGTTCAGGGCTTCACTGTATCTCAGAGTAACATTCCTGCCTATGTTTTTTCTCTTACCCGTGTGAGTTCTAATGTGTCCTTGAAGCAACCAGGGTCTGGAAAACGCCTTGCCGCAGATCTTGCAAACACAAGGTAATGTGTGGGTCCGAATATGCATCTTCAGGGCGCCCAGGCTCACATATTCCTTGTCACAGTATTTACAGCTGAAAGATTTTCTAGACTGGGCATCGCAATGCAGCTGCTTATGTTTGGCCAGCCCAGAAAAAGTTGAATAGGTCTTATTGCATAAATTGCACTGAAACTTTTCAGCTTCAATGGCATGGGGGTCTGAAAGCTTGGACTGTAGCCTTTCCTCTTCATCACTAATGGGGCTTTCTGAGCCACTGTGGTCCTTGGAGGAGGTGTCAGATGGAGGAGGGGGACTCACTCGCCCCAAAGATGAGGAGTATCCGGAAAGAGGAGAGAGGCCATTGGGTAGCTGGGCGTGGAATGGAGCTGCCGTAGTCCACACAGTGATGGGGCTGTATGCTCCTGAGCTGAGGATCTCTGGTTGTGGTATGACAGGCATGGAGTAACTCTCATAGAGATACGGGGAAATAATCACTGGGAAAGAAAAGGGAGGGAGAGAAGGTTAAGTTAAAAAGAACTAAAAATAAATCCACACGCAAGCATACACACACTGGAAAGATATTTAGCAACACACACGTGATTTTCTTAGGGAAAAGGTAGACCCATTTAGGAGGGCATACACACTGGTGAAATGTTTCATTTCCACCCTGGCACCTACGGAGTTACTGTACTTAATGCACTCATAGGCTGACAGCTGTACGAAGCTATAGGTGCTCTGAAGACAGAGTGCAGCCAAGCCAGTGCCTTCGCAGTCCCCACTAAGGAGGGAGAGCCTCAACATTATTTTTAAACATTCAGAAAAGTTGTTTTCCATTTTATGTATGGGCTCTTTAGGTGTATTACGACCGTGAGTACAAAGATATGCCTGCATCAAGCCGCCTTCTAAAGGAAAGGAGACTTCGTGCATGAAAAACGCAGTAATTCAACCCTTATGTCACTCATCTTTCACATACTCATTATGCATGTATACACAGGCTTTAGCAAACACGAAGCTGCGAGATTTGAATGAAATGTTCCTTGTTAGTCAAGAATTCAAAAAGTTTTGAATTAAAACGCACCCCAAATGATCAAAAGAATGTAAGCTCCCTTTCGGGACACTGTTTAAAAGGAAAACAGTTGAACCTTTGGCTCTTTTGTAATGGCATTTGAAGGGTAATACGTAGATTCATATTTGCAACGCTCTAGATACGTAGTTCTAGATATATTTTTCTCTTTTTACCTGTGTGTGTGTCCAGTTCGCTGTAGTTTGGCTTTTTGGAGGCGTTGAAATGCTTCTTGACCAGGAAGGAGCGCGGCATCTTGCCAGCGGGTCTGGCGGGCGCCCGGCGCGGATAACGGTCCGGCGGGAGGACACGGCGGTCCCTACAGCATCGCGGCGGGCCAGGCTCCGGCGGGGGCCGCGCTCAGGTGCGGCAGGCGGACTGGCCGGCGCCTCTGAAGTCGCCCGGCTCCTTTACGAACTGAGCCCGTTTTGGTTGGGAGGGATTTTTTTCCTCTCTTTTGCAAGAAAGATCCAATCACAGCTGAGAGGTTCAGATTTCAGCTCCTCCCTCTGGGACAGCTGTGAACAGAGGAAGAATCTGTTGTCAGACTAAATTATTCTGGTTCAAAATGGGCTGTTTTTCGAGATTTCAGTGGAGAGGGAAAAAAAAGTGTTTAAGTATTTTCAAGAGAGGTAACCTCCCTCGGTGAACCCCGCCCGCGATCCACGCTGTCTGGGAGTTAAGAGGGGCGCAGGAGCCGGGGTCTCTGCCCGGCCCGCCTGGCTTCCAGATGTGGGGCAGCGTCAGCGCGCGGGGACACAGTGTCCGCCAGGGGAAGGAAGGGCCGCCCTGCACCATACCAGGCCAGCCTCTGGTGTTAATGAGAGCCTATATTTGGAAGTGGCATCTGGAGAGGTTTGCTTTGCACAGGGACCAAATAATTAACTCTTGGCTTTTGAAAAAGGAAGGGGGAAGCGGGAAGACAAAGGCGCCTGTGAGCGCGGAGGACGCTCTCCTGGGACTCCGGCCTGGAGAGCGACTGCAGCCTTGCGTGCGGCGAGGGCGCTGCGCTACTCAGGGCTTCCGCGAAGCCAGGGGCAGCGCGGCCGCGTGCAAATTAAGTAATCATATCACCGTGTTAGCTATGGTGGCTTGAAAGAAATGCTTTGTAGGCCGTTAAAGGCAGGCTGATCGGAAGAACGGGAAGATTGCAAAGATAAAAAGGAACGCTGGCAGAGAAGGGGGGCAAGAGGTAAACTGTCATTTGGAACCACGAGACATTCTCTCACTCACACTTTGACAAGAGATCTTATCTTTTCATGTACTACAGTGCATTTTTATGGGAAAAAGGGTGTATGCGTCTTTAGAGACAATTATTTTTATTTCAAATATTCCCCTGCTTTTATTTGGTGCTATTTTCATCAGTATAAAGCCATTAAAATTCATCTCAGTATCTGCCAGTTTCCTGTATAATGCTAAAAAAGAAATTAAAGGATACTCTTATGAGTATCAGTTGATTAAAGTTTTAAGGACCCAGTCTAGTAACTGCAAAAACAGCTTTATTTTGTATATGGTCTTCAATCTAAAAATACTTTAAGGTGGTTTATTTTAAATATAAAATTTCAAGCATATTTTAAAGCATCTGTGTCCATTGCAGACCTTTTGCTAAAATAATAAGGAAAGAACAAATTCACGTGAAGATCACCCTACTGTTGTTTCCAACAGGTGCTGGAGGAAAACAGTGAAAAAGAAAATAACAGTGGTGATGTCAAGACTTGTCAGAGAAAAGTGCATTGTCAGGCTGCATAACTTCTTAATCTTGGAATGAGAAAACAAGAGTGTATGTGCGTTTGGGGGCTGAGGTGGGGCACTCACAGATTTCCTAATCTAATTTCAATGATTATGCTTATTTCTTCCAACAGTCACTAATTTAAACATCAAACAGAGAAAATAATTCAGAGGAATCCTTATGCTAAGGGAACTGTACTTGCAGGAGAGAGGAAAATATGAATACATATTCGATTTCTCCACACACAAACTGGAACCTGAAGTAAAAGCCAGAGGCAGTTTTCTAAGCTTGCTACTCTATGTGAGGGTTTGTTCAGCTGTAGGCACCTGGGTTTATGAGAGCAGGAGTCGTCCTTGCTCTTTATTTCATTCCCCACAAAACGCACATTTTTGTTACAGATATAGCACAGTTGAGAAAACACAAATCGCCATGGCTATTATTTCCTTGTTTCACTCTACACAGTCTATTTACAACAAAGAAGAGTGTTAGACAATGTTTTGGTATGTATTTGCTGGTAGTTATAACACAAGATAACCTACTAACATGTGTATTCAAAAATCCATTTACAACATTTAATAAAAAAGCATACATTTGGATCACAGAGGCATAATCCAGCCCAGCCCCATCAGCAGGTATCTGAGGGTGCACTGCCCAGATCGGCGTCGGGACGTGCGGCCACACCTACTGTGAGGAGCGGATGGGGCCCGGGTCTGTGCATGGGGCATGTCATTACACAGATCCTGCTAGCGAGTAACACGTATGCCCGTGTGAGGTCTGGGCCGCTGTCAGAGCAGGGCGAGTCTGCGCGCTGATGGCGTGAGTCAGAAGAAACAGGTGCTCTGCTCAGACACAGTGGAGGGCATGCGGCGCCAGCACCATGTGGTAAAAACGCAAGCAGGGAAGTCAAGGCCACACCCAAAGGCCAGCTGCTGGGACTCTGCTAAGACAAGACAGAGGTTTCCTCTCCTTCTGCCAGCCAGTGGGCTCATCTGGAGGGGTTGGCTTTGGTCGTTGACAAAAAGACTTTTCTCTTGCCTAGGGACAGAAATCTTTGTGGCGGCAACTGCACCAGATTTTAAAGCTTTCATTCTGGAATCCAATAGAAGTCAAATCAACCACTGAGAGGGAAAAATGGAACAAGCAAACCCTTTGCTAATCCAAGGATTCAGTCCTAGGTTGGTAAGAAATTGGTGCTCCATAATTAGGCTGATTGAGTTTATCAGCCTAATTTATTTAATAACTATTAAATAAATGGTGCTTGTTCTTAGAGCCACATGGACACAGCCCAGCCAGGGTGAAGCCGGTGGGCATCGGTAAGACAAAAATAAGGAAGGCACAAGCTCTGCCCTTAGGCTCCTGAGAGTTTAATGTAGTGTAGGGAGAAAAGAGGAACTCTGGAGGCCATAGTGAGGCTTAAAAAATAATCCTTCCTAGGCTTGAGCCACACTGGCGAGACTCCATGACATGGTCTGTGTGGGTTGCCTGGCATCCCAGACACCCGTATAATCTAATTCTTTAATTGCCATGATGTGATTTGATGTGACGTACCTGACAGGCTCTGATTTCCTCTGTTTTCTGAAGAAGCTGACCAAGATAACTTGTGGAAAACTTTGTAAGTTAAAGGTCTGGGCCAGCCTTTCCCACAGGCTCCCTGGATGGGTGGGGTTTCTCCTGGAGCCAGTCTTTTTCATGAAAGACACATTCTTGCCCTGCCAAGTAGGGGAATAAATTAGATCCGTGAGGTTTGAGAATGCACCTTGGGTTTCTTTACTTTGCATGGAGATTTGTACACATTCAGGTATTTAGGTGTGTAAAAAGCAGTGCAAGTATTGACTACCATGTTTAGGAAATGGAGTAGTAAATCTAGCCCCAGAAGAAACTAGGGTGTGGTAGAGGCTGAAAAATCCCATTTTATGCTGTGTCCTGTCTCCTAAAATGAAAGGCATCTCTTTCTAACTTTGGTGTGTGGTGTGATCACTCCAGAGGGGGTTCATATCCCCTCAATTCATATGCATATTCATATCCCTTGAAAAATATGAAGTGATGAGATACCATGAGTTTGTGGTATCTGGAGAATATTATAATACATTATTAATTTTAAAAATCTATTTATATAGAAACAAAGCGTTTATTAAATATAACTTTGAAGTTTGAATGACAAGGGTGCAATGCCATTTTGTGAGTTTTTAACATACACATATCTGTATGTGAAAGGATTTAGGAAGAAATATTCCTAAATTTCCTGTTGGAAAATTATCAGAGCAGGCATGGGATTCTGCTTATGCATTCTGAGCTCCACAATAAGGAGAACCTCTTTTCTCTGAGGGAATGGATGGCACTCTTACATGCACTCCACATATGCAAGTATGTCAACAGGGCGCGTTTGTGTGAGCGCTCACATGTCTGAATGTTGGGAAAAGTAATCATAGCCAAAAATGGTGTCAGGATGTCCCTCTACTGTTTAGGAGTTTCCATTATTTCCTGCGTGTTCCCAGTGTCATGTTCGGCAGGCCAATAGCCACCAGGCATCTGCGTCTGTCTGGAGTTAGTGCTAATGCTAATAGCTCAATAAGTACCATCATATATGATCAGTAAATATTTAAGATCACTTCAAACAGAAAACCTTTAACTTGGGAACAGAATTTTAATGAAATCTGCTTTCTGCCAAGTCACTCGTGTTCAGAATCTTATTCCTAGTTATGTTTGTATGATCTCATTTCCCTTTGGGTAGATAGAATATGGTTAAGCGTATCATGAAAACTAAGAGATATTCATCTCTTCACTGTTCTGTGTGTATCTTGCGGAAAGTGTTGATATTATCTGTAAGATGAATAAGAAAGACTAGGGAGTGTTGAATTTGTCTGTATTTTAAGCAACAGCTCAGGGATATGTGGTTGCAAAGAGACACCTATTGGTCAGTTTCAGAAGACTCATTATTTTCTTTTACTTTCTTTTCTTTTCCATAACTTTTTAACAAGGTCTGCCACCCAGTGGAAAATGGGTGGATTTGACTCAACCCTAAGAACATCAACCTGACCTTGTTTTGTAATTACCCCAATTTCAGATGGACATTATATAAATTCGTTGGACTTATTAATGTATCCATAATTCAAAGTGACACATGTGTATTTGTAGAAATACGCACAACATTTACACAACAAACTATGTTGTTTTTTTAAGATAGGCAAGAAAGGGAAATGTTATGAGATCATCAGACTGTGCAGTCAAGAAGGAAGTAAGCAGAAACAGTGAGCATTACACTCGAGGCGAGTGAGCAACCTTCTGGACTCTTTTTTATGTTTGCATGATAACCTACAAGGCAGAAGAATTTTAAAAACGGGAAACCAAGCCAGAGCCCAGTTTCCCAGGGCATTCAGAATGATTTCTTCTCAGTCTGTCTGCCTCCAAGGCTATGTACTTCGTTGCTGGAATCTGCTACCCCATTTGGTTTGGTTAAAGGACACTCAGTGCCCAACAGTGTGTGGCATCATGGATAGTGATAAGAGCTGCTATTCTTCATGATTAATATGATTGTCTGGCCACTATGCTAAGCACTTCACAGGCATTATTTTAATGCATGCCTCCAAAGTAGCTTATTTTGCAAGGTAGAGGTTATCCCTACTTACAGATGAAGAAATGAAGACACAAGGAAGTTAATTATCTTGGTCAAATCACACTGCTAGTAAGGAGTACTTAGAGGTGGCACTGGAATCTAGAGCTGTTTAACTTCAAATCCCATGTATTTCACTACAGTAACGGTAATATCACATCATAATGGTGAAATAGATCCATGACTAGCTGTAAAACATGACTTCTTTGAAAACTGGCCTTCCTGCTTTCTCTTCCCCACTCAGAGGATGCTCACAGTGTTTGCAGTCCCTCACTGTCTCACTCACTGCTCTCGCCACGCTGTCTCTCTCCCTATTCCCAAGTCACACCAGGGTCAGGGTTGCTTGATTTCAGACTTGATTCCAGTTGCCTCCAGGTGTTGGGTGTGACTTCAAGGAATAGAATCCTAAGTGCTTAATTAAATAGTTGCCATTGTTTCTGGTCTGCCAAAAAAGGAGATGACCATTAATTCTTATTCTGTAAGAATCATGTGGTTTTTCTAAATGGGTGGTTAAATTTGTTGCCTTATCTTGAATGGGATTATGAGGGGAAAAATAAATGCATCAATGAGGAATCAGTGTTTCCAAACATGATGGAGAAATTTTACAGTCCAAAAATTTCTCTTTTCCTCTCATAGGTGTATCCATGTATGGGTGTGTCCATGTGGTGTGCCTACCTTGCTCCATAGTAAGCCTCCATGTGTTCCTATGGCAGTGGACATGTTTGGTAAACTTGTAAGGTACGTTGGTCTGCATTCTTTTACAAGAAGGGCTTGAGGTGCTTCCTGGGGGAAAACATATCCAGGAACAGTAGGAAGAATAGGAACCAGACCCACCAAGCCCAATCTTACAACCAACTCTTAGTAGCCTCAGAAGGGTGTTGAAGCTGACTACAGCAGAGTACCAGTCACTCCAGTATGTCTTTTGACCGAGCACCCAAACATGCTATGGAGAAGCAGGCATGAATCCTTCAGTGAAGCTGAAATGTGGCTTTCCTAGAACTCTGTTGGCATTAGAGAGCAGTGAGTGCCGCCTTGGAATCTCTGGAGCAGAGGTCGCATGAGACATGGAGAGAGCTTCCTGAGAACATTGCCACAGCTGGCAGTGAGCACGACTGTAATGTCCCTGAGTGTCCCGGGGGCATTAGCATGGGTGGTGGGCTTGCCAACAGGTGTCGTGGTGCCTGACAGACAGGTGGGTCCCCAGTGGAAGAGGCAGTGCTCTGCTGCTGTGGACCGAATGCTTGTGTCCCCCCAGCATTCCTGTATCAAAACCTGACTCCCAAGGTAGTGGTCTTTGAAGATGTGGCCTTTGGGATTTGGTTAGGTCCTGAGGGTGGAGCCCTCATAAATGGGATTAGTGCCCTTTTAAAAGACCCTAAGGAGTGCTCTCCTCCCCTCCTGTATGTGAGCATACCAGGGAAGACAGTCTGTGAGCCAGGAAGCTCACCAGGAAGCTCTGCCCGGGCTTTGATCTCTGACTTTCAGCCCCCGTAAGTGTGAGAAATCAACTTCTTTCTTTTGTTCTTCATAAGCCAACCAGTCCTGACACTTTATTATAGCAGTCCAAATGGAGGGAGGAGGCTGCCCAGGGAGAAATGAAGGCCTTTCAGACCTTTGGCTCTCAGCAGAAGTAAGAGCAGTGCCCTGTAGGGGGGCAGAGAAGATAGGGTGCACAAGACAGAGAGACTGGAATGGGTTAGGAGGAGGAACACTGCTTGTTCTATATCAAAACCCAAAGCTTGTCTTCTAGACCATGAAGGACAGCACCGTGGGATTCCCAGAATGATGTTGCAGTTGCTGGGCCCTCCATCAGTGGGAAGGGAACACAGCCATCGCCTGCACATGAGCAAAGGAGAAACAGATTGGGGTCGCTGGCCTGAGGGTGCTGGTGTGGACTCCCAGTCCTTGCCCTGTGTGGCACCCCTGCCTTTCTCTGGGCTGGAGATCTGAGTCATCAACACGCCTACCTGAATATGAAATTTAAAATCCTTTAGAACAGCAGACTGTGATGCTTCCCAGGATAATGTAGAGAAGCAAAGTCTAAATTATGCCATGTGTAGGATGGACTCCCTCATTTAGATCTTGATGCACCAATTGCTGAGCCACATCCAAAAGCACACCTGTCAGAGCTCTGGGAACACAAGGCTTGGGAGCGCTTCCCAGGTCCTACAAGCGCTGTTGCTTTTTCTGCTCCACAGACCTTGGCCACCTGCCTGTCAAACTCGGTTACACCATCTGCAAACCTAATCCTTGATAAAGATCCCTGAAAAAAGATGGAGAACCTGGCTTTGAAGAACCTTGTGGCTATTTGGACTCACCACTGAATCCAAATTTTTGCCCGGATAGAAATATGTGTATGTTGTGCTTTATCAAAGGAAACATTTTCTTAAATGATACCATGGCTATTTAAAAAGAAGCACACATAGGCAAACACTCCACAGGTAGAAAGATCTTTTCTAAAAATGCTTTTGGTCCTTACATTTAAAAACGAAATTCCTACCTTAAGGCCAGAATGATAACGGGAAAGAAATATTGCACTCATTTGTCCCCTTCAAGCCTACTGCCATCCTTGGATATGAGCCTTTGCTGGCACTAGGAATGTGCCCTCATTGCTCAATCGTCAGGTGAGTGGGCAGTCCAGATGAGCCAGTAAGAGAGGAGTATTCGAATATAACATTGAAGTTGTTGTTGACATAACACTTGCCAGCACTTAGAGGTGATTGGCTGCTTGGAGACCCAAGTCCTTTTAAGAGCTGGGTTGATGGGTCCCTTTGTCATTGTGTGTTTTTAGACAGGCTTTCTTCTTCCCCACCCTGCTTCCCCAGCACAGTTATGTAGACCCAAACTCTACTGAGGGGGTGGAATGCATCATTATACTTTCAAAGAGAAGGTGGAAGACACTGTGAAATCATTTGCAAGTGATAATGGATGGAAGTTAATGACATGCAAATCATCCTGAACCTCCCAGCTCTCCTGAGTCTTTGGGACTGATTGCAATACCTCAACGATGAGTGAGTGATGAGCTAGAGTCGGCAATTATACTCCAGGAAAGTGGAAAGAGAATCTGAGTCTTAAGAGAAAACTGAGATGGAATGAAATCGTAGAACGCTGTAGTGAGGGAGGGCCTCGGCAATCTAGTGTAACATTCCCTCCCATTTTTTACTTTTGCTTGAGAGGGCAACAAGAGGCTTGTACGAGGATGTGAACCTTCCCAGCATCATAGAGGATTAGAACTGTAATGTGCAAACTTCTAGTAGAGCTCCCTAGCAGGTAGCCCCCAAAAGGTGCCCTGCAGAGGCAGTCTTTTATTTGAAAATGTAATTGATCAGCTTCTGCAAATTATCCTTGAAGGTCTTTAAATAAATCAAAATAAAGAGAAGGAATAGTACTCTATTTAAAAACTCATGTGCAATTCTGTGTCTTGACCTTCTCAGTCCTTTGCCACCCCATAAAGTAGTACAGTTTAATACCTAAGGGGTTTATTCCTTGTGGGCTATCTACCTTGCATGTTTCATTGTTTCATTTTCATTTTTCATTATTGTACTTCTGCACCCTGTGTAGAAAACAGAAGGTACAAGATGTTGTGGCTTCAATAATTTTAGACCAAAATGCAAAGTAGGACTTTTAACCCACACAACTCCAAATGGCTATATCACAAGGAAGAATGGTGGAAAGGATGAATGTGTACACCTTGATCTTCCTGACTCCCAGTATGTGGTTTTCTTTCCATGATTAACCCAAGAGTGGATTTCTCTTAGCTAGAAGCTACAATTGAGTAAGATTTTCTTGGCCTAGTGAGTAAATACTTTGAATTTTAAACCCCAACTGTATGGGTACAATGGTGTTCTCAAAGTTGGGTTGCAAGTTCTTTAGTCCCTGATACCTATCCCAAAGTCATCAAATGAACCCAAGTCCTGCTAGGAACAGTGAGGTTGAGCCCTCACTTGAGACACTCCTGTGGGAACTCTAGGGATACCACTGCCAGGCACAAGGCAACAATCCTGACTCCTCCACATACCACAAAAATGTATCTTATTTCTCTAGGTGACAAGGAAAATTGATCAAGTTATGGTAAGAGGAAAAAGGGTACTCCAGGCCACCATATCCTTAGTCACATAGCCTACTACCAGGTCACCTCTGTAGAGGGAGAATGCCGAGCCAGTTTGTCTGCATCATTTCTATGCCATGAATCAAAGTTGTATTTGTGTCCATCAGAATAGAGACTTTATGCTGGAGGAAAATCACACATGAGCCCCAGGGAAGGCAATGATTTGACACAATGATGTTGAAAGTCGAGAGTGCTCAGCATGAAATGCCCCAGCGATGACAGCAGGATTAACCTTCAGTGTGAAGAGAGAATGGGTGTGCCCATTGATGAAAGGTGCTGGGACGCAGAGGCAGCCCTTCCCTGGCTCTTCTGAAGATGCCTGCTGGATGGAGAACAGTCAGAACACCTATGGATCTGAAGCTTAACCAAAGTGGATATTGAGCAGCTGTGGGACATCATAAGTAAATCAAATTTACAACTCAGCTGACTGTAGAGATGCAGTTTGGAAAATTTGGAAGCTGGTTTTATATGTTGTATTATTCTCTTTTGAGAATAAGTTTTTTGTTGTTGTTGTTGTTGCTTTGCACTTGGAAGAGAAAAGTTGAATATTCCTGCTAGGAGTGAGTCAATGGATTCCTAAGTGAATTTGAAAAAAAAAATCTAGAAATGATAGGAAGTGGTATGATCTTCATCACCATCCTCATTTTCTTATGAGAGCACTTAAATGTATATATTTTGAAGAAATTTCAGCAGATACACCTACAGTCATTTCAGGTTGATGAACCATGCTCTTGAAGCCTCAGCTCAATTGCCAAAGCATTAAGATGGAGAAACAATCGATGTTTTCTTTGGAAAGAACAATTAAAGGTGATTGATCACAAATTCTTTGTCTTACATGCAGCTTATATTTTCTTAAGCTGTGTCAGCCTGGAGATTAAAAGAAGGGTTCAATTAAAAACACAGAAGAGTAGCTGTCTGTCTTTGTCCCCGTAGCTTTGCAGAAGGCCTCCTTCTCAGGCTCTCGCCATCCTTCCCAGAGTCCTGGGTGGGGGCTTAGGGTGTCTCACAACCTATCCATCTTGGTGGCACTGTTATTGTCTTTTTCATCCTTTCCTGGCCCCAAGGCAGGCCTCCAGTAGTCATCATTGCTGCCAAACATGCTGTGCAAGTTGCCATCGCAAAGCGTGTATGGTGTTCTTGAAGGGTGACGTTCCCTCTGGCTTCTTTTCCTGTCTACATGCAGACTCATTTTGCTTAGACTCTAGTGTCCATGATCCCATGGGCTCCAATCCTCTACAGGTAGAGAACCTCTCACTGCCAGGTGTGTCTTCTTCTCTTCCACATGGATTGCTGAGCACAACAGCCATGTGGCTTCAGTACATTTACCCAGCCCTATGCTGTGTAACTTTGTTTTAATCTCCCACCCTAGGGTCTGGAAACAAGGCCACGGGGCCCAAGAAGAAAGTACTAATATGAATGACAGATACTGTGCTCAATGCAAAATAACCTTTCTTCTTTGACACTGAACCACTTGTTTTCAGATTTGTACCCTTGGATTACCATCATATGCCCCTTAGTGATGGGGATATATTCTTAGAAATTTGTTGTGCAATTTTGTTGTGTGAACATCAGGGTGTATTTATACAACCCAAGATATCAAGCCTATCACACTCCTAGGCTATATGATATGGCTTATTGCTCCTAGGTGACACACCTGTACAGCATGCTATTGCAGTAAACTCTGTAAGCAATTGTAAAATAATAGTATTTGTGTATCTAAACATAGAAAAAGTATAGTACAGTAAAAATACAGAATCATAATCTTATGGTATCACCATTGTACACGTGTTCCATTGTTGACTCAAATCTCCAAAATATTGTTTATGTGATACATGACTATTTTCCTTGAAGGCCTCCTGGTCTTTTATGCAAATAGACACCTGATAGGTGATTTCTCCCCTGCCCGGCCAACATCTCTTGATTGTTGAATGCCAGGATGAACATAACAAGGTCCTTGAACTGAAAATCTTATCACATACAGATTAAGAAATTAAGAACTAGGCCAGGTGTGGTGGCTCACACCTATAATACCAGCATTTTGGGAGGCTGAGGTAGGTGGATCACCATGTCAAGAGACAGAGACCATCCTGGCCAACATGGTGAAAACCCATCTCTACTAAGAAATAAAATGGCTTATTTGAAATCCCATGTGTGCTTGGTGACAGAGTAGCACCCTGGAGAGCAGACCCTCCCTCTGCCACACTCAGTCTATCACCATGGATGCTTCTGTTCCCTTCAGCTCTGTGGTTTGTGTCACTTAAAAGCTATGGAGCATTTCCCCCCTCATTTGGTCAATACCAAACATTCTGAACGGGAATACAGTCACCCGCATAGCAATGTGGCCATAATGTAGAGGACACTGTTTATAATTTCTCCCATCCAGGGACATTATAGATTTTTGTATAACTCAGGAAAAGGTGGAAGAACCTTGATGACAGAGAATGAAATAGTGCAAATGGGTAAAGGTGGGCTGAACATTGTTTTAGGAGGAAGTGATTCTTCAGGTTGCAAAGATTTCATGTGCTACCTTTCTTTTTTTTTTTTTTTTCTAGTACATCATTGAAGAAGCGATGTGACTTAATATCCCACAACCCTACAAAGAACCTCCAAAACAAATTTACAAGAAACAAAACAAACAACTACTCAAAAAAGCTACGGCCAAGGAGCATGATCGAGAATCAATTCTCACAAAGATAGCATTCCATTAACAGCTCAAAAACAGACACATCTGACAATAAAACGTTCATGACATCATCGTGCGAGCCATCAGTACGTTATCAATTAGCACATGGATTATAGGAATACCTTGTATATCCCAGAAATAGGCAAATCAAAACCACAATGAGATACATCTCACACCAGTTTAGAAGTGGCGATACGATTAAAAAGTCAGGAAAACACACAGGGCTGGAAGGATTGTGCGAGACAATAAAGGAAACTTTACACTGTTGGTGGGATTGTAACATAGTCTCAAGCCAGATTATGGAAACAGTAATGCGATTCCTCAAGCGATCTAAAGATAAGATGTACCATATGACCACACGCCATCCCATATACCTGGGAGATATACCTCAAAGGATTATACAATATAGCCTGCTCATATAAGAACACATGCACCACGATGTTTATTGCCAGCACTGATTCACGAATAGAAGATTCCTTGGAATCAACCCAACATGTTCCAATCAGTGAACAGATTGGATTCAAAGAAAATGTGGCACATAATACACCATGGAATAACTACTGCAGCCATAAAAAAGGAATGAGTTTATGTCCTTGTGGTAGGGACAATGATGCAGCCTGGCAAACCATCATCTCTTAGCAAACTATCACAAGAACAGAAAACCAAACACCAGCATCGTTCTCACTATCATAGTGATGGGAACTGCAACAATGAGATACTTGGACTCAGGAAGGGGAAACATCACACACCGGGCCTAGCATGGGAGGGGGAAGGGGGGAGGGGGAGGGACTGCATTGGGAGTCATACCTGATGTACAATGACGAGTTGAATGGGTGCACGCACAGCAAATGGCAGCAAGGGCTATACCAGGCTACTGTAACAAGTACCTGCACGTTGAATGCACATGTATCCCCTACACTTAACGTATAATAATAGATAAATAACCCAATTAAAAA